GCATATTGGTGATATTTTACTATGACTAAGAATTTAAAAAAAATTTAAATGGAATTTTAAACTTCAGTGTTGTTTTGCAGATTGCCAAAGCAGCCTTCAGTGCCCGCTATAATATATACACAATGGGAAAGTAATGGCAATTTGACTTTCATGTTAACATTTCACACCCTGTATGACATATTGAAAGGAAAGATATATTTTATAATCTTTAAATTATTTCATGAAGGATGAGCGAATATATGAAAATGAAAACTTAAAAAACAAACAACAAAAAAACTAAATTTCTTAGGGATCCGTAAACAGCAAACTACATGTGACATTGATGACTTGTCCTGCATTCATTTACTTGATACGCATCATATGTTTTAAATAAATGTTATACTATTTAAACTAAATAAATAACTTGGTCGTGAAAGGGTTAATGTGACAAAGAGAATGTGATACAATAGGATTTGACGGCGCTTACTTACAGCTTTCAGCCCAGACGTGCGTGTGTGTGTTTTATTTTGATTTTTTGGGATTATTATTTTATACTTTGATGCAAGAAATGTAAAATGAAAATGTAGTGGTACCTTATCTCATATAGATGCTAATGTACCGCAATGTATATTTTAGAGTTCTTTGTACGTACTAGACATTCTTAATCTTTCCAGACATGCACATCACCCATGTCTGCTGTTCTGTCTTCGAAGAGCCAAATGACAGGAGATGATACTTGTGGCGTCTTTCTAGTCTGTCTCCACTTCACAAATAAATCCTTCCCGCTTCTTATGCTTAATCCTCAAAACAAAAGCTTTCATGGGAATTAACCAAAGCAAATAGTATGCATCGTTCACAGTGTTTGCTACAAATTTTGACACCACACAAGTGTAAGGATAATGCCATGGGGCAACCTATTTGGGCGCATAGGTTAATTTAAGCAAATGTAGAACAAAACTGACAATTGTTAATAGATACAAAAACATAACTGGGAAAAAATGCATACCGACTTTGATAAAAATATGTATTTACTAAAAAAATTTAATATTTAGGGTTTTCACTAGAGTGTGAATTCAAAGTAAATATAACATTTAAATTTAAAAAAAAAAGTTAAACACAAAATGTTTCTAAGTCAGCTCATTATTCAGTTTGGCTACACTGGCCTAAAAAGAAAATCACATATTGTCAGGCCCAGACCGACCATTGGGCAAACTGGGCAAATGCCTGGTAGGCTGCGATGGCCAAGGCCGAATATGGATCTCTACAACCATTAGATACACAATCTCTACAGTCCTTACACGTGCACACTTTACATCCAGTAGAAATACACACATACTACATTCCCTAGCCACAAATATTATTATTATGTTATTTATATAGCGCCAACAAATTCCGCAGCGCTTTACAATGGGTGGACGAACAGACATGCAGTTGTAACCAGACAAGTTGGACACACAGGAACAGAGGGGTTGAGGGCCCTGCTCAATGAGCTTACATTCTAGAGGGAGTGGGGTAAAGTGACACAAAAGGTAAGGATAGTATTAGACTAGTGACAGTTGCAAGAGAGGAATCAGTCGGGAGTTATTAACAGTTTAATTATTGCACCACAGACTCATTTACACACACACACTACACCACAAACAGTCATCTCTATGCACACGTAATCCCACAATCAGCCTCCAACCACATATAGCACCACAGAGAGCCCCATACATGCACAACACCTTTTAGTGGCCATGCCCCACTTTTGCCCTCTGCTATCCCTCTTATGTGTAAAATAAAAGCAGGGCATTGCTCCCATGCAAGAGCTCTTCAGACGGGACAGCAAACTAACATACTTAGTTTGAGTTGGCAAGTGTGTCATTCTTGATGACACGGCACCCCACCTCTATATCCCCGCCCCCCCCTACTGGGCTGCTCTGACTTTAAATGCCCAGGCTGAATTTCTATCCCAGTCCGGACCTGCACATTAGTGAATATTTGAAGGCAGTAAAATTAAGAGTGATCCTGTTACACAGCAGTTAGATTAAACTGAAAATTGGTGTCCTGTGAATAAATGTATAAAGGTAATTATGTGTTTTGTACCTGTATTACTGAAAATAGTTATCATTCCATTAAACCTGCACTGGTTAAAAAACAAAAACAAACAAAACGTAAAATATTCTGATAAGACTATTAAACTCCAGCAAGGCAAATACTGCTGCAAGATCGAAGCAATTTACAAATAGCTAGATTTTTACATATCTAATTTATTAAGATAAACATGTAGTGCCAGCAGCAGGATAAATGGGCACAACATCCTCAGCCACCAATGCAATAATAGTGATAGGAGTTGTAATTTAGTGGACGTGTTGCCTAGAAATGACTTGATTAATATGGGTTTTCATAGGAACATGGTTATCAGATGAGATGAGTACTAATCAGATGAGATTATTGACTAAAGTGTGTTCTAACAAGATTATCCACCAATTCATACTTTTTAGGAATGTTCACTAAATTATATCGGGTTGAAATCTGTTTTGCAAAACTGAAGCTAAAACAGCTAAACTAGGGTCATTGCTAGTTGGAGAACTGTTGCAAATCAGCAAATTTAGTCTAAGATTTGCTATTTCAATTGAAATTTGCTGTAATGTGGAGTTTAGTGAACAAATCTGTAAGCGAAAAGTCCAAGTGAATTCAAAAATATTTTCATGTTTTATGCAAAATAGTCAACTGGAACAAAAGCGGACTCCGAGACTTTCCAATATATAAAACTATTGCTTTGAAATTTGAAGTGCACCTGGAATTCACATTAGAGGTTATTCCCAATAAGGATTTTCTTTGCAGTCCTAAATGGTTAGCGTTAGTGTGCGTGAACTGGACATAAACTATTGGACAAATCTCTTTTTTCTTCCCGTAAACTTTTTTTCCAGATAAAAATTAATAGTGAAACAATGTATCCCAAAAATTCAACATTGCCCCATGTTCTCTGTTTTATTTTTACTTAGTAACTTTAATTAGCTACCACTGACAGACAGTTCTAAGTGTCCAATTCTCTATGGATCCATCTTTTTCCTTTAATTTTTACACTACCAAAGCTAAAAAAAAACTCTGTATATTTTCATGACGCCTTAAGGTCTTGTCTCTGCAGAATTGTATAGCACATCCTTAGACAGTCACCTCATTACTGTTAATTGGATTATATATTCTTAGTATTTTATGGATCACTGTGAGTTTTGGTGATGTACATTCTACTTATCGGTTTAGAACTCAATTATGAAGTTTATGCTCTAAATTAGGAATTGTGGAAAATTGAATAGAGAAATGCAAATGATAGGCTAATTAAGTAAAATTTACTATTTTTTTGTCAATTTCCCACAGTTCTTGGCTTAGTATATAACCCAGTGGATTTTAGAAAAAAAAAATACTGAGGATTTAAAATGATTGGCAATGTACATTAAATGGGATACTACATTATTTGATAATGCATTAAAATAGTTGCATTCTGTCAACTTTCTAACAGAATGCAACATTCTGTCATTTTCAGAAATTCTATCAAGGAGAGAAGAATACAGTCTTTTTTAAATATTTCTCATCCCATGCACTCCATTACAGTTCCCCATTTATACGAATACTGTGTGCATGAATATTCTGATTATAGTCAATAATGAATCTCTTGATTCTAGATCAGGAAGCCACCAACTTTGGATCCTAGCGTAACATCGATATCAAGCTATTAATCAGAAATGAAATTATTTTCGATTTGTATCCACTGGCTGCAGCAGAATCCCAGGGTAAACTTAAATCAATATACCACAGGCTGCATGGGTTTAAACATCAATAACCAATGTGGGGGATACTACCTCTGAGATGTGTTTACCATAGTCATGAATGCAGGCAGCAAAGTGTTAAATATTGGTCCCAAAAAATAATTTTTCCTTATATTTTATCCTACATTATTTTGCAAATCCTCCACGATAAGAGGAGAGAGGATTTATATATTTTGATATCTGAATTGCCTTTAGCTGGCTGTGCGTCATGGGAAAACCAGTCAATAAATATTTGCACGGTCACAATTAACAACACTGTTTTTGGTTGCCTTGACACTTAAACAGTTTTAAACTGGCTGAAAAACATGAAAACTCTAATCCATTAAGGTCTGTAGGGTTATAGTTAATGATATAGTTGAGCATCATGGGAAATGTAGTTTACAAGTGTTTCCAGTGCCAATATTAGAAATACTGAAATTGTCCATCCTTCTGCTAGACTGCCATATCTTTTTTTATATCATACTTTTTTTAGTCAATCTTTATTTAGGAATGTTTTTAAAAACACTATATGATCAACATATCTAAAAAAAAAGAGAGAAATTCGGAGAACCAAAATAAGAAGAGAGCAAGAGATGAAAGAAAAATAGAGTACATGTGCGCAGGGCTGATCCTGGGTTGGTGCAAAAAGGCAGACTGGCAAGGTGTGCAGTCTTAGGCTCCGTCCCCTCATGTTAGGTCCCACCCTCTTTGTTAGGCTCCACCCCCTCTTGATTGTCGCTGGGTGGAAGAGCTGGAAGGAAAAGGTTACCAGCTGACAAGCTCTTTGAAGACAACATGGCCTAGTGCTGCTCACCTTGCCAATCTACCACATTGCACCCACCCAGGATTAGCCCTGTAAATGTATGAGAGAGCAAGGGAGAAAAAGGAAAAAGCAAGAAAGAAAAAGATGAAGAAAGGAAAATGAGAGAATGGTCAGGTAGTGGGATGGAAGACACCCTCCGTCCATAGCTTCTTCACCAGTACCACCACACTCACCAAGGTATTTCTAGCCCTGGTGCCCAGGTAGAGCATTACCATTCTTGCTTCTGGTACAAGGAAGCAGTTATTTTCTACATTGTCCACATTTTCCGATACTTTTCCATTGGTGGACAGTAGTGATGTCCCGAACTGTTCGCCGAACTGTTTGCGAACAGTTCGCCACGAACGGTTCGCCACGAACGGTTCGCCACGGACTCATCATTGAGTAAACTTTGACCCTGTAACTCACAGTCAGCAGACACATTCCAGCCAATCAGCAGCAGACCCTCCCTCCCAGACCCTCCCACCTCCTGGACAGCATCCATTGTGAAGCTGCATTCTTAGTGAGCTGTCCAGGAGGTGGGAGAGTCTGGGAGGGAGGGTCTGCTGCTGATTGGCTGGAATGTGTTTGCTGACTGTGAAGAACAGGGTCAAAGTTTACTCAATGATGAGTCTGCGGCGAACCGTTCGTGGCAAACCGTTCTCGAACCATTCGCGAACCATTCGCGAACCATTCGGCGAACAGTTCGGGACATCACTAGTGGACAGCATTTGGATACAGTACGGATCAGAAAGAAGATAGAACCATTTTATTTAAAGAAAAACTAAACATTTGTGTTACTAACAATATGTTAAACATTCATACCCGAAAGATCATGCAGTAGGATCGTGGAGTGCAAGGAGTTAAAATATTTGTTTAAAAAAATATATATATTTGTTTACACATTATTTTTGTCAAATTTGCTTAATCATCACAAAATGTTAAGCTACATCACACATTACCAAACCAAGGCTTATTTTAATAAGCTGTAATACAGAGCACACATATACTCTAACACTGCAATTACACGTAGAAACTGTTGCTGCCCTTTTAATTTACAGGGCTTCATTGAGGCTTTATAAAATTGAGGAAGTGAAAGTCGCTATACCCGAATGCAGTTTTTGCAGGAGAGTTTAGAGTCATTGGATTCAAGTCGTCTTCTTTAGCGTGGAATGTCTGATATTTGCCAAGAGAAAAATCATTATGTTAGAATGCACTTCAAACAATATGACTTGCGCTGTCAAATAACCAGTAAGATTTCCTCAATAGGTCACATATTATTGTACTATTCAATCCACAGAGAGGCTTAAGCTAGACGTTATTTAAAATAAATACATTAAACTACTAAGTAATAAAATGTCAAATCAACAGGAAATTCCCCTCTAAATCTTAAATGTTTACTGTTGGCAGAAACCCAATTCTGCGCAGAGTAGAAGTCTCTTATGGAAAGGTTATTAAACAATCCTTCTTTGTAAAGCTTTGTGTCTGTGGAATTTTAGAAAGTGTGCTGTATTGAAGATAAAAAAAAAATGAAAACAAATAAATGTTATTCTAATAATTGCAGAAAGTAAGTAAGTTGTAATATCTTCAACATACTACACTCCACCCCCAAAAAAAATAAAATCAGAAATTGTATTAAACTATATATTTTAAAAAAAAAAACATAAAACAAACAGAAAATAAAATTATTCTATACTTACATCAAATCCCTGGGCTCCGATACTCCTCATCTATCTTTATCTGACATCCACTTAAATCAGGAACTCTAAGAAAATTCTCAGCCAATTCTTAAAAATTCAATGGGAAATTTACTGAACATGTGTGCGGATATGAAGGGAGAGAGGCTCAAGAATCCAAGTATTTTAATGCTCTATTTTTTAACTTGGCAAACTTTGAGTGGCTAGTCCATACTTTGATGAACATTCATCAATTTGGATCATCAGACTATTTTTAAAAAAATGTTTTGGCAAAAGACATGTTATATCTCCATATGTTACAACTTATTGAGATATGTAATCAGGACATGATGGCGGACATTCTAGAAGATTTAACAGTGATGCAACTTACAGCACTGGGGACACAGCCACAGTGTACGGGCCTGCCAAGGAAGGCTGACAAACAGCCTCGTGGCCAGCCTCTTATTTGCAAGACTATTCAGAAAGAACTGCTGAAGCAATTTCTGCATTGTCCTTGTGACTGCGAGTGCATCTAATGATGCACTTGCACTGTGCTGCTTGAACAGTTCCCTGGTGTCCCCCGGATGCAGGAAACCTGAGATCTAAATTAGGACAGGGTCCTGCTGAAAGTGGGACTGTTGGAATCCCTGTATCTGTGAGGCAACTGAGAATGACAGGTCATGGGTTTCAAAATGCAGAAGGTTCCTCCAAAACTGAGACATTTTAGAGATAAGGTCTTCACTGGGTAGCCTCAAGTGTTTTTGATGTTCTAGACTTGGACCTAATTTGTAAAGTACACAGACAGTCCAGGGAGTATGCATTTTTTAGATTCTGTTGAGAATTGACAAGTCCTGGACTAATGGTTTGCCTTAAGGACTCAGTCCGGAACCACTGTTCTAGATGATCCCTGATTTATATAATAGTGCCTTCTAGGAGGACTGCCCCTTAGGGTATGCAAAGGGTCACATCCAACATCCCCTGCTCCATTAAAGTACTCTGGCTATTTTAAAAAAAAAAATCCTCTACAGTCAGAAAAGCTAGACTCAATGCTTTGGCCCAGTTTGTCTTTATGATATGGTTTTGCAAGGAACAGTATACTGACACTTAGGGGTTAAAACAAATCAAAACATACCATTGTATTTCAAAAAGAAACAGACCTGTGAACCTAAATGAGGTGTCACAAATTGTGATTTACAACAAAGCATAGTGTGTATTTCTGTGCAGCTATGGTTGCCGCTAATGTTTCACATAATAGTTTTATATATTAAGTTGGTTTGGAGGTCAATCTATTTGCTGTGTGTATTACTGATCCGCAGTATGAATTCTTGTACAACACGCGGGTGGATCAAACTCCATGACTTCCCGTTAGGACAAAGAAGCAGAGCTCTCTTAATGTAATGACATTGTGGCTAATATGTTCGCCTATGTCAAGCTTCCTGACACAATGCCACAGAACTACGGTAATGGGCACTCAATAAGATTACATTTGGAAGTAAAATCTTTGGAAGTGCAATCATGTAATCAGGGGGGAAAACCGAAAGAAGCTGATTTAACTGTTTCATTGGCAGGTGTGAGAATTGCATGCTGACATTCTAAGAGTTAAGCTACCCTATTCCGAGTTATGGTTCACCCTATAAGCTTATTGTTCTGAACAAACAAACAAATATAAAAAATTAAATAAATAAAATAGTTTACATCTTTTCCCAGCCTTTTATAGCACAAGAGTGATAAGAGTAATACAAAATGTAACTTTACTATAGAATCCGGTGAGCTTATTAACGCCCTTTTACTCATTTTTCAGTGGGGCAGAGAAGTTAAAGCAACGTATAGATGCCAAATGGGACCTTTCTTTGGCAGAATGGGCCACTGGAATTACAAGTGTGGGTGCACATAATATGAAAGAGGTGAATAACGCCTGAACAGACATATAGCGCAAATTCAAGGTTTTGTTTACGTTTTGTTTTAATCACAACTTGTACAACTGCGTCAGTCCTTAAGGGGTTAAACTCCTTCACTGTGTAAACCTCTACCACTTCAACTGGAAGGGTATTCCATGCATCCACTACCCTCCCTGTTGTGGTAGCTTTTCTTCTTTTAAATATAGTCTCCTCCTTTACTGTGTTGATTCCCTTTATGTATTTGAATGTTTCTATCATATCCCCCGTCCCGTCTTTCCTCCAAGCTATACATGTTAAGATCCTTTAACCTTTCCTTGTAAGTTTTATCCTGCAATCCATGAACCAGTTTAGTAGCCCTTCTCTGAACCCTCTCTAAGGTATCAATATCCTTCTGGAGATATAGTCTCCAGTACTGCATACAATACTCCACGTGAGGTCTCACCAGTGTTCTGTACAATGGCATTAGCCCTCTTTCTACTGCTAATACCTCTCCCTATACAACCAAGCATTCTGCTAGCATTTCCTGCTGCTCTATTACATTGTCTGCCTACCTTTAAGTCATCAGAAATAATTACCCCTAAATACCTTTCCTCAGATGTTGAGGTTAGGAGGGTATCAAATGTTCTGTACTCTGCCCTTGGGTTTTTACGTCCAAGATGCATTATCTTGCACTTATCCACATTAAATGTCAGTTGTCACAACTCTGACCATTTTTCTAGTTTACCTAAATCATTAGCTATTTGGCTTATCCCTCCTGGAACATCAACCCTGTTATATATCTTAGTATCATCAGAAAAAAGACATACAGGCTGTTAGTGCGGTGGATAGTAAGACAGGTCCCTGCTTTGTTGTTCCCCTTTTGCCTGTTGGCAACTCAGTTTTTGCTGTGGGGAAAACGGATAAAAAGAGACTCTGTTTTGAAACCGAACATTGATAAATGATCTGTAAATTGCAGAATCAATAATACTACAAATGGATACCTTTCTGAGACTTCATCATTAATGGTTAATAGAATAAAATAATGCCAAGTAAAACATTTAAATGAGAACATTATAATGGATTTGGAATCTACTTATTGAGTAATTACACCTCACTTCAAGGAGACCAAGATTACCTAAAGAGTAAATTTAGAGATGCTTTTCAACATTCTACTTTTACATTCTAATGGTTGGAAAAGCATCATGGGATCTATCTTGTGGTACCCTTGCTTTAGACTGTAAGCTTGGTTGAGTTTGGTCTTTGTTACCTTTATAAATGTCTCACCGCATCACTTGTATTTTTCTTTCACTCATTGTAGGGAACAACAGTACACGTTGTTGCTTTACCAAAAAACTATAGGAAAAGGAAAGCTATATATAACTTAAATATCTGAGTAATTCTTACTGTGTTCCTGTATTTCTAAATCTCCCTCCTGTTTGCTTTATCCTAGAGAGATGGTGTGAATGCATGCAGTGTTTCTAAATCATTCTGTACATAAGCTAGAAGAATGATTGCTATGTTTTCCCTTCAGATAATATGCCAGATTTTAATATGGCCTTCCTGAAATTGAATCTGTAGTTGAAAGATGGAGCTATAAGGTACTTAAGTGAAATGATTTCTCATGATGGCAACTTATGTATTCATATGAAGTCAGACATATGGTCTGTGTTATGAGCCCTTGCTCGTTTATTATCAATGGCATAAACATTGAAAATATATTGTGGTCATATCATTCTAAGACAGGAAAGCTCTAACAAATGGCGTCTTAAATCATATAGTTCATCGGTGTTTACTAAAACTAATCCCCAAATTACATTGCAATTGTTCACATTTTAATTGGTTTTTTGTTTTGTATTTTGTTATTACTATAATTAACTATTACTATATTAAAACTCTAAAACTCTTTTTACATACACTTTTACCTTGTTCAATATTAGCAAGTAGGATATGGGGACATTGTAAATTGAGCCTCACTTTTAAACAAAAACAAAAAAAGGTTCAATAAGGAGGGTATTTCAAGGAACTGGCTATTAATTTC